AAACCCCCTATTAAACTTCCCTAATAAACCCCCCCCAGTAAACCCCCATGATAAACTCCCCTAATAAACCAAATAAACCCCCTAATCAACCCCTCCAATAAACCAAATAACCCCCCCAACAAACACCCCTGATAAAGCTCTCACATCACTCCGGTGTCTCCCCCCAGCAGTGGGAATGGCTCCTCCTCACCCCACAGGTGAAAAACCCAAATTCCACCGAAACCTTGCACTAAAGGAAAGCTGCACATTCAGAGGCACAGCCAGGAATCCCGACCAAAATCCCGGAGGAGCTCCCAGAGATGGAGCCAAGACAGGAGCACCAAAGAGCCTTTGCCTTGGAACCAAGCTGCTGAGGGAAAAGAGATTGAGGAGAAGAATGTGGTTCTCAAGTGTTGCCTCAGAGCTGATTTATTCCTGACATAAAACTAAACTTCACAGTGATATGGACTCTTTCCATGCATTATTCTAGATGGCAGTGTAAATCAACTGAGGATGCAGTCAGTAAAGTTGTTATTGCCAGCTGTAAAAATCCCACACTGTAGAAAAGGTTGAAAGAATTATTAATATTTCCTCTATTCATATGTGCTGCGCTTGAGCAGGCACTCCCAGGGAGGTTTGGAAAGTCGGAATAGAGCCATTGTGTGGGGTAAAACATCCCCAAATCGGGGTGTGCAGATAAAGCTCTGCTCGGGGATGGTTCCCATGGCTTTGTGCTGTTTGGAGACCGAGGAGCATCCCCTTCCCAGAGCTGCAGCTCCTGCTGGGAGACCCCATCCCAGCCCCCCGGGCTCCCAGCGCCATCCCGAGGAGAACGGGGCGGTTTCCCCAGCCCGAGGAGTCGTGTGTTTGATGAAGGCAGATTCTATTTGCGTCCACCTGGGCTGTGTCAGTGCCGAGCGAGGCGAGGAGCGGCCGCTGCGCCCCGAGCTCCATCCCTGAGCCCGCTGGGACCCCCAGCCCTGCTGCGCTATCCCCGGGGCCCTGGGGGCTCCCTGCTCACCAGCTCCGGGCTCCATCTCCTCCTCCTCCTCCTCCTCCTCCTCCTCCTCACCGAGCTCTAATCCCCGCAGACTCGGAGCTGAGCGCCGGCAGCCAGCAGGAGTTGCTTTGTCTGTGCTGACTGGGGTAAGCAAAATATCCTTTTCCTTCCGAGCCTCTGCTGCTCCTGATCCCTGCTCACCTGCTCTGCTCTCCAATGGGTTTCATCTTGTGGCAGGGAAATACCGGAGGACTTCTCCTCCGTGCACTCATCTTGTGTCCAGCAGTTTCATAGAAAGCTCTGGCATTTTACACCCAAACTGTTTTAGGGGATCCGGGGTATTTATAATGAAAATGGAGATTTTGCCCAAGTTGCCTGGGAAGGGATGGCGTGGTGGGGGGAATACAGGAGCTTTGACGTGGCTTTGTTTTTAATGGCGAGCTCGTGCTTTCAATTCCTTGCTCTTTTGTCCCTGACCACGATGCTGCCCTGGCACTTCATTCATTCATTCATTCATCCACATGCACGTTTGCTTGCTTTGCTGTATTTTTATTTATTTTTTTTTTTTTAATCAAAGCCCTTTGAATTTGTATTCTCCTTTTTTTTCCTATAAACTTCTAATTCCAAAGGCAAGCCCCTGAAAGCTGCATGTTCCCCCTGCACATGGAAGTTTGTCATGAGACCATTAATCATGACTTACAATCATTCTGCTAATGCAGAGCCCCCATTCAGAAGCAGGGTCTGGCTGCAGACGGGTTTGTTGCCGTGGGATGTGGAAACAGAACAAATTTCCTCGGGAAAGACTTAAGCAAGGTCATAACAACATCCCTTGTGCTCTGAGCAGCGTTGAGCTGGATCAGACAGAGCAGAGCAGTTTGTTGGCTCAGGCTGTAGGTCAGACATTGATATCAAACTTGTTTATTCCCTTCTGTCTGGAATACAAACTCAGCCGAACCCTGAGTGTTGCTGGCTTCGTTGTGGTGGGGCAGGGGGAGGCTCCACAAACTAAAGCCGTGCTATGCACTCCGTTCTCAGCTCCAGAGGTTCTCACCTGCGTTAATTAATGAGCTTTCTAATCTCATTACACAACCCTGGCGCCCCGGGGTGCTTGCACTGCTGGGAGGTGAACGGGCAAAGGGGCACCGCAGCCCCTTTGGGATCAGGGCTGAAAATAACGGGAATTCCAAGAGGCCAGAGGTGCCTGTGTGTGCATGGGGCTGGGATGTGTCCCCAGGCACACCTGGACGGGATCAGGATGGAGCTGAGCTGAAGGAGGGCACGGCAGGGGTGGCAGTGTCAGGTGGACACAGAGCAGGGCAAGCTGCCAGTCCCAGGTGTTTGCCCAACTCGTGCCATGTTCCCATTCCTGTGGGGCAGGAGGGAGCAGCTGAGCGAGCCCATCCACAAAGCCGGGTTTGGGACATCCACATCCCAGCCCTGGCACAGCTGAGGGCACTGGGAAGGGCACAGGGTGCCCAGAGCAGCTGGGGCTGTCCCTGGATCCCTGGCAGTGCCCAAGGCCAGGCTGGACATTGGGGCTGGAGCAGCCTGGGATGGTGGGAGGTGTCCCTGCCATGGCAGGGGTGGCACTGGAGGGGCTTTAAGGTCCCTTCAACCCAAACTCCTCTGGGGTTTTGGGGTTGTTGCACCAGAGCTTGAATAAATAATAAAAGATAAACAAGAAATCCATCAAACATTGCTGTGAAGTGCAACAGGTGATTTAACCAGAGTGAGAGACAAAGCTGAGCTCCCAGAGACTCAGGGAATTCTCATTCTCCCGATCCCATAATTGTGGCTGCACCAAGAGGCCTCTGTGTCCTGCACCAAGCCCTTGGCAAACTCTTGTGCCAAAGGAGGAAAAGCCACGGGGAAGGATGTGATCCAGCAGGAGCAAAGAGGGCAAGTGTCCCTCACCTGAGCACCTCTGGAATCCCAGGATGGTTTGGGCTGGAAGGGGCCTTAAAGACCATTCCCTTCCACCCCCCACAGGGTGCAGCTGAACATCTCAGGAACTCAAACATTCCATTATTCTGCTCTCAGAACAGCAGCATTTACTCCTCTTCCTCGCAGAGAGGCGAGGGCAGGCAGGAAATGACTTGCTGATGATGGCACAGAAGAAGTGAGAAGGCAGGAAATCAAATCCACGTGTAGGGAGTGAGAGCTCTCAGGCAGCCTGTCCCCAGCACCGAGTGCCACACAGAGAGTGACAGCAGGAGCACGCTGGGACGAGCAGATGATTCACAGGAGAAGCAGGAAAACATGGTACTACCTTCCCTTGGGACCAAAATTCCCCCTAAAATAGGGAACTTGTTGAATTCACAAGGAATTAAACATCAAAACACTCTGGGAATGGAGCTGAAATGAGCCAGGATTGGGCAAAATTAACCCTTGGGCTCGAAGGGGCCAAATTCTCAGGGCTGGGTGTGCATCACCCCAGTGCCATGGTGGGGACTGTCACCTCTGCCCAGTGCACCAGGGTTTCTCTGCCCTGTTCCCTCTGTCCCACGGAGCTGGCCCCAACCAGGATGTGCTTCAGCACAGGAGCCCAAAATGCCACTTGTCCCCAGGGCCAGCCTGACCTACTTGGGTTTTTTTTTCTCTTTTTTCACCTTGTATCCTCTGGTTGACAGCAGCCTGGGAGAGGAACAGAGAGTTCCTCTCAGTTTTCCCACCCTGCCAGGTCTGACATTTATTTGAAGTGGATAAAACTCACCTGCCATCACCAGCTGGATGTCTCAGCCAGCAAATTCTCTCTCTGTGATATTCCAGATCTGTGGATTTGGGATGGGCAGGTGACTGTAAAGAAAACATCCTCCAGGGACTTAAAATAATTGTCAGAAAGGTTTCTACTGATTGATCAGTATTTTTGTGAAGGACTTTTGGCCTTCCCTGATTTCAAACAGCAAGATAAGGCTGGGTTCCAGAAGGAGCTGTATTTCTGTGAGGTACACAGGCATCAGAAACCAAGAGGTAAATAAAGGTCAAGTTCATGAGGCCTTTGGTGATTTTTATGGACTGAAGCCTTCAACTGTTTACAATTGAGTCAATTTTGGTTTCAATAATGTTAAATTAACCTTTAAAAATTGTGTCAAGGAGCTGAAAACCCTGCAAACGTGCTAATTAAGGAGATAAAGTAGGTTCAGGAGGAATCCAATATCTAAACTGTCTCATGAAAAAAAGACCTTTCAGCTTTTTCTCTGCCTTTTCCAAAGGGATAAAAAACATCCATGAAAGCTTTTGCTTTGTCTTCTGAAGGCTCAGCTGTGTCCCACGGCCTTTGGCTCCCTTCCTGCTCTGGGAAGGGGATGCTCCACACATCCAGGGATGCTCCACACATCCAGGGATGCTCCACACATCCAGGGATGCTCCACACATCCAGGGATGCTCCACACACCCAGGGATGCTCCACACACCCAGGGATGCTCCACACACCCAGGGATGCTCCACACACCCAGGGATGCTCCACACATCCAGGGATGCTCCCGGTGCCCCTGCTGCCCAGGGTCACTTTTATATCTATTTTTCCCTTGTTTCCAGGTTCCTTTCTCACCTTCCAGTGTCCCTCCAGTCCTTAGACCCGATCTCATTACGATGCTGAGGGGTTTGTGGAGCATTTTACACCTCCCAGACCGTGGCCAGCTCTAATTCCAGCTCTAACTGGGGAGTGCTGGGCTTCCTCCCAACACAGACCATGTCAGTGACCTCTCCTCCTCCTCTCCCCAGCGTTCCCCAATTCCACTCTGGAGGAGATGGGGTGCAAGGAAGAGGATGGCAGCGGCTCCTGGAAGAAGCAGACCAGCAACATCCGCAAAACCTTCATCTTCATGGAGGCCCTGGGATCGTGAGTAGCAGCTGTCCCCGGGCAGGAGCAGCCCAGCCCCGGCTGCCCAGGCCCTCCTGGCCCTGCCCAGTGTCCCAGGGACCCAGGCCAGGAGCACTGAGGGGTCCCAGGATCTGCTGCTGCCATTCCTGCCTCACCCTTCCCAAAGCTCCCTCCAGCCCCAGGCACAGCTCCAGGTGCCCCTGCCCTTCCCTCCATCCCCAGGTACCCCTGCCCTTCCCTCCATCCCCAGGTGTCCCTGCCCTTCCCTCCATCCCCAGGTACCCCCAGCCCTTCCCTCCATCCCCAGACACATCCCCAGGTACCCCCTGCCCTTCCCTCCATCCCCAGGTACCCCTGCCCTTCCCTCCAGCCCCTCTGACCCTCAGGGAGCCTCGGAGCAGGAGGATTTTGCCCCACTCCCGCAAGGTCAGGGGCTGGCGCAGCAGAGGAGTTACAATAACGAGTTGTATATTTAGCTCAGGAGCCCTGACTCACTTGGGGAATGAAACAAAAACAAGGATGTTGGAGTTGTACAATCCCTCCCTGTGCGTTAACAGCTTAATTTGCCTATTCATGGGGATGAGACAACAAAACATTTCCAAGGTGCTGGGGGAGGAATTGAATTACCTCCACCAGCAAGTTCTGTCATGGACAAATTTTCTGTGACTTCCGAGCCCACGACAAAGCTCCCAACGCAGCAGCTACTCCAAATTCTGTGCCTTGTCAGCCTCAGAGATTAATTGAATTATCCAGCAGCTTTTGCTAAAGGAATGAGGTTAGCAAAAGCTTTGTTCTCTCCTAGCCCACTTGTTGATTCATCATTTTTAATAAGGGGCATAATTATTATAAACTGTTTAGGACAGAGATGTAGAACAGATGCCCCAGCAGCTGATTTGTAGGTTGTTCATTTCCTATTTGTTTAATAGGAAAATGTGGCATTAGAAATTGGGATTTTTTCCCCACATGCATCACTTCAGCTCTCTGAAGAACTGAAATGAAGATCTGGGACTCAAAACCACCTGCAAGGTGTTATCAGTTTCCCCCAGGTCCACGGCACTGCCCTTCCTTGCCCTGCCCTCAGCTCCCTGCAGGGCTTGGCAGACTCAGAGCAGGTCCCGTTTCATGGCCCCAATTAACGAGCTGCTGGCTTGATGAGGATAGTGAGGACTGGCCCGGTGTCACTGTCACTGCCCTGAGCCTCGTGCTCAGCTCCCCAGGACAAAGCTGGAACAGGTCTGGGGATCAAGGCAGGTTATAAATACCTGCTCCTGCTGCTCTGGGGGAGCAGCCACTCACTGCCACCTTGGCACCGAGGGAGCAGCAGCCTCTGCAGCCAGGAGAACAATCAGAGGCTGAATTTAAACATTAACTGGGGTCCTCCTGCTGTTTTGCATTTTAGATGTGCAGAATGTTGGGTGACACCAGCCCAAGCTGCAGCTCCCTGCTGGACTGTGCACAATTAACATTTTCTCTACAGGAAAAAATGTGGGGTTTTATTTACATTGCATAACCTCGCCTTGAACATCCTGAGCGTGGGGCTGCTCCAGGAGAGCCCCAGCTTTAGAATCAGCATCCACTTCAGGTTCCCACCACGTTGTTTTCCCTGTCAGTGCCTCCCCATTTTCAGAAGCAGCACCCCCTGAAATGCAGCAGCACCCCTTGAGATGCAGCAGCACCCCTGAAATGCTGCAGCACCCCTGAAATGCTGCAGCACCCTCTGAGATGCAGCAGCACCCCCTGAAATGCAGCAGCACCCCCTGAAATGCAGCAGCACCCTCTGAGATGCAGCAGCACCCCCTGAGATGCAGCAGCACCCCTGAAATGCAGCAGCACCCCCTGAAATGCAGCAGCACCCCCTGAAATGCAGCAGCACCCCTTGAGATGCAGCAGCACCCTCTGAGATGCAGCAGCACCCCTGAAATGCAGCAGCACCCCTTGAAATGCAGCAGCACCCCCTGAAATGCAGCAGCACCCCTTGAAATGCAGCAGCACCCCCTGAAATGCAGCTTCTCCCCCTCTCTGCAGAGGTGCCTTCTCCGAAGTTTTCCTGGTGAAGCAGAAAAGCACTGGCAAGCTCTTTGCTCTGAAATGCATCAAGAAGTCTCCTCTCAACAGGGACAGCAGCTTGGAGAACGAAATAGCAGTGCTGAAAAAGTGAGTGTGACAGGCCAGGGAACATTCCTGATGTGCTGGGTGCTTTAAAAAGGATCATTCCTGATGTGCTGGGTGCTTTAAAAAGGATCATTCCTGATGTTCTGGGTGCTTTAAAAAGGATCATTCCTGATGTGCTGGGTGCTTTGAAAAGGATCATTCCTGATGTGCTGGGTGCTTTAAAAAGGATCATTCCTGATGTGCTGGTCCCCCCACTGATGGTGCCTGGTGCTCCAAAAGGAATTGGGTGGGCATCAGTGATCTCTGCCACCCAGGGGGAGGGACAGCAGCCCCAGAACACCCCAGTGAGCTTTCCCTGGTGATTAAAGCAAGATGACTGCCGGGTTTTCCACCTCAGAAGCCCCTTCTGTCCTTGGCAGGATTTGTTTCTGACCCACATTTCCCTTTGCAGAATAAAGCACGAAAACATTGTGACTTTAGAAGATATTTATGAGAGCACAACCCACTTCTACCTGGTGATGCAGCTGTGAGTACCAGCAGAGCCATTTCCCTGGGGCCACAGAGGAAGGACAGGGCAGGAGCAGGGTGAGGCTGAGGTTCCAGCACCTGCACCCAGAGCCCCTCAAGGGCCATCCAAACACCCTCAGTGCCGAGCTTGGAACCAACCTGGACGCTCCTTGAGGCACCTTGGCCCATCCCCATCCTAACAGCAACTTTCTGAACCGTGATTTGGATCTATTTATGCAAATGAATTCCTCACAGTTTAGCAGGGCAGAGACAGAAGTATTTCTAATTAAAGCTGTGCCACGCAGGGTTTCTAGAAATGGAATGGGCACCGTGTCAGCAGCAGAGAAGGAGCTCTGAGCACCCGGCTGCTGCTGCTTAACTGCAAATTTAGTCAAGAACAAAGCCCTGTAAGCACTTGTGGAGTGCAGCCTGAGGCAGGGTTGGGTACCTGCAGCTCAGCCCTACCAGAACTTGCCTCACAACCTCACCCAAATTTCCCAGGCTCCAGCAATCCCCAGTGGCAGCCTGGAATCGCAGCCAGGAGCATCCAACAGCCTCAGCCTCCCAAAAGCTGCTGTAAAAGGACCAGAAACTCAGCTGGCCTAACACAAAAGCTGTGTTCACGTTTTGTCCAGTCCTTTTCTAAGCTGCTGTCTCCACAGGGTGTCTGGGGGAGAGCTGTTTGACAGGATCCTGGAGCGGGGCGTTTACACGGAGAAGGACGCCAGCCTGGTGATCCACCAGGTGCTGACAGCTGTGAAATACCTGCACGAGAACGGGATCGTGCACCGGGACCTGAAGGTGAGCCCTGGCTCTGTTCCCCACCATCATCACCTGCTCTGCCCCTCCTGCTCCTCTCCCTCCCCCTGTGACCACCCCACCCTGTTCACAGCCTGAGAACCTCCTGTACCTCACCCCCGAGGAGAACTCCAAAATCATGATCACGGATTTCGGCCTGTCCAAAATGGAGCAGAACGGGATCATGTCCACGGCCTGTGGGACTCCAGGATATGTGGGTGAGCCAAGGGGCAGGAGAGGTGGATTTCCTGGAAAAAAGGGTTGTGCACATCCAGGACATTGCCTGGAAGAAGGGGAGGAAATAATCAGTATGTTTAATAAGGTGGGACTCACAGATGCACTGCACATAGGCGAGTGTAGGGACTGAAAAATCTCAATATTTCAAAAATGCAAAGAAAAGGGTAATTCTGAGGGCAATATATTTGCCTCTTATATTAATATATATTTTTAAATTTACATTATCAATGTTTATTGAAGAAATTATAGACAATATTTTAATGCAATGGGATTTTGTTTCGTTCCACCAGACTGCACTGGGTGGATGCAGCTCCCTGGTTAAACCTCAGCATGCAGGCAGAGATTGTCAGTGGTTCTTTCCATATAATGGCATAAAAAAGACACAAAAACCACAGACCAATTCAGCTGGGAGCTGGGGCTGAAAGTCCTGCTTTTCCCAGGGCTGGAGGATCCATTTTTGAATTGAAATCAGGATTTGGTTTTGCTGTCCCGCAGCCCCCGAGGTGCTGGCGCAGAAGCCGTACAGCAAAGCCGTGGACTGCTGGTCCATCGGGGTCATCACCTACATCCTGTGAGTAGGATCCAGCAGCACCCCAGAGCTCTCCTGTTTCCACCTCCCCTTTTTCTGTGGAGCACAGCACCCAGTTCCTCCTAAGCACGGGAATTAAAGGATGTGGGGAATCGGGAGCGGAGATGAAAGGAATCGCGTTTGCTCTGTTCTGTGCCTCATCCGATGCTTTGTTTTTCTCCAAATACCATTCCATCTTCCCGGGTACTTTTTGTTTCGTTTCCTCCCACACTGCTCAGCTCGGTACCAGCTGTGCCTTTGTCCCCTCGCTGCTGCAGTGAAGTTTTAACTCTTTGTTAAATCAGATTTGCTGATGCCCTGAGCAGTGAGGAGTGGGCAGCTCCACAGGCTGTGCCCGCTCGTGCTGGCACTGAGGGCCCCGGCTCTCTGCTCTGTTCCAGGCTCTGTGGGTACCCCCCCTTCTATGAAGAAACCGAATCCAAACTCTTTGAAAAGATTAAAGAAGGCTACTACGAGTTTGAGTCTCCGTTTTGGGACGATATCTCGGAGTCAGGTAAAGCTCTGGGGCTGGGGAGCTCCACACCCCATCCCACCCATCCCAAATCCCCCGAGCCCTGAACGCCCTGAGCTCCCCCAGGGCTGGGGAGGGCTGGAGCTCAGACCTGAGCCCCTCACACAGCAGCAAACCCTTGGATGTGGGGGTGATCAGAGGCTCCATCTCCTCAGGGAGAAGAAACTATAAATGATAAATCAGGGGGTGATGCCAAAGCGAAGCTGCCCTGGCAGAGAGGGGGTGCCTGGAACGCAGCACCCTCAGCTGAGGCGTGGTTCTTGCAACCCTGATTTTCACAAATCATCACTGAGGGGGCCTGGATTTCCCTTGGAAGTGCCCAAGGCCAGGCTGGCCCAGTGAGAGGTGCCCCTGCCCATGGCAGCTGGTGCTTTAGGGCTCCTTCCAACCCAAATCATTCTGGGATTCTCTAAGAAGGCAAACTGAGGTTTTTTCCCCCATTTTTTCCCTCTGTCCTGTCAGCCACCACTTCACCAGCTGAGCTGCTCGTGGAGCTCCCCTGTGCACAGCTCCCTGCAGGCAGCATCCTCACGGCTTATTTCAGCATCAATCTTTTACACAAACAAACAAACAGACCTAGCAGGGGGTGTGCTGGGGCTTAATAACAAACATCACAATCCTTCCTGCAAGAAAAACAAAGGAAAAAAAAGGGGAGAGATGTAAGAGCTCTTCAGGGCAACTTCTAAATCTGCTCAGCCTGCACTTCATGGCTTTTTAGAGTTATCTTTTTAGGTGAATAATTCAACTCCAATTCACACAATCTAAGAGTGAAGTTTGGTACATCCAGAGTTGCTGTTTTTTCATCTGGAGCCTGTCACTATAAGAATCTTCCTCTACTGGAGTAATCACAGAATTATTAAGGTTGGAAAAGATCTCCAAGATGAAGTCCAGCCTTTGAATCCCACCATGCCCACCAAACCACATCACCATCTACTCATTTTTTGAGCACTTCCAGGGATGGTGGCTCCACCACTGCCCTGAGCAGCCCCTTCCAATGCCTGGCCACTTTTTCAGTGAAGGAATTTTTCCCAATATCCAACCTGAACCTCCCTTGGTGCTGTGATACCAAGGCCTTTCTCCTCAGGGCTCCAGCAGCATTTCCCAGGCTCTGTTAGGATCAGCTCTGGGAAGAAGAAGAAGGAGATAACCTCTCTCTGCTTTTTCCCACTTTCCCAAACAGCCAAGGACTTCATCCGGCATTTACTGGAGAAGAACCCGAGCGCGAGGTTCACCTGTGAGGAGGCCCTGCGGCACCCGTGGTGAGGCTCGGGGTGGCCACGAGGATTCTGCAGCCCCCAGCTCTTGCTCCATGGGCTCCATGTGCTGGGAGCAGGGAACAGGAGTGTCCCCAGGATCAGGAATGTCCCCAGGATCAGGAATGTCCCAGGGATCAGGAGTGTCCCCAGGATCAGGAATGTCCCCAGGGATCAGGAGCATCCCCAGGATCAGGAATGTCCCCAGGACCAGGAGCATCCCCAGGATCAGGAATGTCCCCAGGATCAGGAGTGTCCCCAGGGATCAGGAATGTCCCCAGGATCAGGAGTGTCCCCAGGATCAGGAATGTCCCCAGGATCAGGAGTGTCCCCAGGGATCAGGAATGTCCCAAGATCAGGAGCATCCCCAGGATCAGGAATGTCCCCAGGATCAGGAGCATCCCCAGGATCAGGAATGTCCCAGGGATCAGGAGCATCCCCAGGACCAGGAATGTCCCAGGGATCAGGAATGTCCCCACGATCAGGAGTGTCCCCAGGATCAGGAGCATCCCCAGGATCAGGAATGTCCCCAGGATCAGGAATGTCCCCAGGATCAGGAGTGTCCCCAGGATCAGGAGCATCCCCAGGACCAGGAATGTCCCAGGGATCAGGAGCATCCCCAGGACCAGGAATGTCCCAGGGATCAGGAATGTCCCCACGATCAGGAGTGTCCCCACCCCATCTTTAACGTCACCGCCTCCCCCGCGCTCCCGGGCTGGCTCCTCGTGTGCAAAGCAAGCAAATGATGAATAATTAAAGATGCAATTTGTGCATATTTGCCTCCACAAACAGAGGCAGGGGAGAAATCCCACCCTGAGCTTTCCCAGGCTTTGAAGTGTGTGTTTGTGTTACATTTTGTTGCTGTTTTTCCTTTGGGTTTAATTATTGCTGATTGAACGTACAAAGCAGTTCAGTGCTTCCAGAATGTGGAATGCCTTACAAATGCCATCTGCCTACGAGCCCATTTTCTCCTCTTCCCATCTGCAGGATTAATGGAAATACAGCCCTTCACCGTGACATCTACCCATCTGTCAGCGCTCAGATCCAGAAAAACTTCGCAAAGAGCAAATGGAGGGTAAGTGGCTGCTGCTGGGAGCCCACAGCCATTTCACCAACAAATGCAGCTGCTGTGAGCCAGCGCTGAGCAGGCTTCAGCTGGGTGGGTATCACCCAAAAGCTGGGATCCTCCAGAGCTGGCAGTGCCTGCAGCTGATGTTCACAGGCTGTTTGGAGCAATATTCCCTGCTGCACAGTGAGCTGGGAGATCCACCACAAACATCGAGGGGCCTCACCAGGAGAGCAGAGGGCAGGGGGGCATTTCCAGCTGTGCCCCATCTTCCTCGGCTGGAAGCAGCTGTGAACTCCAAAAGCATCAGTAGCTTGCAGTGGATGGAAAACGTGGTGTTAATGGCAGGAATGTGCCCATCCCAAGCAGTCAGTGCTGGCAGCCTGGTGTCACCTGGAGGGGACAGAGTGTCCTGGCATCACCAGCTGTGCCTGGTGTCACCTGGGGGTGGGGGACAGAGTGTCCTGGCATCACCAGCTGTGCCTGGTGTCACCTGGAGGGGACAGAGTGTCCTGGCATCACCAGCTGCTCACTGGGGTTTTTGTCTCATCCCCAGCAAGCCTTCAACGCCGCAGCCGTTGTGCACCACATGAAGAAGCTGCACATGAGCGGCCACGGGGCAGCCGAGGGCTCTGTCCCTGTCACTGAGCCCTCAGAGCCCCCCAGGCCCAGCAGCCCCTCGGGGACCCCCCTGCCAGCAGCGCCCAGCGAGGACAAGGACACGGCTCAGGGCCCCTCGCAGGGGCACCCAAAGCCACCCAAACCCTCTCAGCCCGAGCAGGACACGGGAATGGTGCAGGAAGAGCTGCCAAGCCCCCTGGAGGAAGGATCCCTGCCCGGGAACAGCAGCCTGGCCCTGCCGGACACCCACAGCCCCCCGGGCAGGAGCTCCTGTGGCTGCAGCCCCTCCTGTGTGGGCCATGAGAAGACAAAGGTGTCCTCCTGCTCTGAGACAGTGCTGCTGAAAAAGTCTTCAAAATCCCAGTAGGTATCCAGGTCACTGCCATGAACTCCCAGCAAAGTGCATGGGAATGACCATCCCTGGAAGGAGAGGCCTGGCACAGGAGCCAGCAGGAGGGAGAAGGGGAGGGATGAGCAGTGCTTGCTTTGGCTGGAAGCTGTGCCCAGCCCGGGCTGTCCTGTGTGTCCCAGGCTCTGGAACACGCTGCTTTTCCAGAAGTTACCAGTGGTTCAATGTGCTGAGGGCAGAGCCTGCCTTGGCCGCAGGGGCTGCACCCAGCCCTGCTCTGCTCTCACAGCTGATGTTCTGTACATTGACACCACAATTCCCCTACAGAATGATCGTAAATAATTGCTATTTCTTTTCTTTCTGTTCCCTTTCACCCATTCCCACCCAGCCATTTCAAGTCAGAGGTTCTCGTTCCAGTGAAAACCAGTAAACACTCGTCTCACTGTGGCACTGGGCAAACTGGAGTTTGTTTGATCATGTGATGGAGGCAGCCACACTGTCAGAGGTGAGTGCCCTGCAATCCAATCATCAGCTGCTCTTAATTAATCCAATTAGGGCAGGCAAAAGGGAAAGGCACAGATAGCACAGTGATTGTACATTAAATAAACAAACCCGGGTTTTTGCAAGAGAAAAAGCCTTTCACCAAACCCTCCACCTCTCCAGCAATGAGTCAGCTCTCAGCTTCCATCAGGGCCACGCCACTGACTCGGAATCCAGCTTCTACATCACCTCGAGGTTTCCCAGGAATGTGAGACAGGAAGCCAAGCAGGGCTTTGTCATACCAAACTCCACAATGATTTTGTGGGGGAAATGCTGATGCAGACCTGTCCCTCGGCTGGAATTGAGACCTGCAGGCCCAGAGCTCAGCACGTCTCCTTCCCAGACCTGGCCCAGGCAGGCTTGAATGTCTTTGTGAGCAGAGCCCAGAGATGCTCATTTTGCAAAGCAGAGTAAAACGATGCAGGTTTGATCCTGTTTGACCACAGCTTGGCTCAGTCCTGTTATCATTTGCACCACTTTGGGTGTGAGCAGCGAGAAGCTTTGCTGTTAGATCCAAATATCCCAGAGGTGAGCTCCTGCTGGCAGAGCTCTCCTCAAAAGCGACATCAAGGGAACTCCCTCCTCTCATGTCCTGTGCCAGTCTCTGCTGATGAGCTCGTTTGAACAGGACTGCGACGCACAAAGGATGAAGAGCAGAGACAAATGTGAGTTAGAGCCCCCCAGACTCCAAAGGGGGCCATTCCAACCCTCAGTGCTGTGACAACCTTTGCAGCCCTCAACGGGATGGAGCTGTCCCTGTCCCCACTGCAGCTCATTAGCAGCAGCTTGTCCTGCAGGGAGCTGGGCAGTGCCAAAGCCCAGTCCTCACCTGGAATTCTCTCTCTTGCAGAACCAGAAGGGCTCTTTTACTCTTTTCTGCACTCCAGAGGCAGACGCGGCCAGTGTGAGCAGGAAAGGAGGCTCTGCCCCTTGAGCAGCTCTGGAGAGCAGTGTCCAGCTGGGGACAGGGCACAGCAGTGCCAGGATCCATCACTGCTCCGGTGTTTCTGGATCATTCCAGCTGGGAGGAGGCGAGGGAAGGCCTGGGGCTCCTGCTCCCACACCCAGTGTACATTACCATAGAGCATCATCAGTGCTACGAGCTTCTGCTTTCTGTACCCTGCTGAGTTGTCAAGGCACAAATGCGCTGCACACCATCCCCATAAACCAAAGCCATGCAGAGCTTCATTCCCGTGGTTTTCACAGCCCTCACCCTCTCCTCAGCCTCGGGGAGTCCCAGGCTTTGGCACTCGAGTTCAGCTGCCCAGGCTGCTCAGCCCTCACTGAGACAAACCTGCAAGAAACCTCCCTGTGTCTGACAATAACACAGCAAGGTCTGAGCTCCGCTTCCAAGGCTGTGATTGCACAATGAACACTTGCTTAATAAAGCTGAGATTTGTTTTGTAAAGTGCCTCTTGTTTATTCATAGAAATCTGATGTGGAAATGGTCTGTTAAGTCCCTCCTAAAGCTTTCCCTGTGCATCCCAGACCTGCCCCCGCTGGTGTTTTTCTGGCAAAATGTTCTGTGGTAAATAAGCAGATTGTGGCAGAAAATCAAACAAGACATCTGACTTCACCTTCCACTATGAGCCTGTGTTTGTCTAATTTGCATAAATATAGGTATGTTGTACAGAGGGAGATAAAATTCTCCATTTCTCTGATCTGCTTATTTGAAGAAAGATCTCAGAGGGAAGTACTGAAGCTATGGCATGTTTGAAGCATTAACTGCAGCACAGATAAAAAGCTTTAGAAGACCCCACAGGAGGGCTTTAATTTGAACAGGGAAATCCAGCTTAAAGGGCTTGAATTGGCTAGAAGAAGAAAAAAAACAATTTCCTGGTTTATAAAGCCCTGTGGAAATAACAATCTGGGGATGTGTTTATTTGCCATGGGAGCCTGATGTCTCTCCCCTTTTTCCTCCAACCACTGGGCAGCTTTGGCCAGTCCAACCCACTCCATGGGGTTGCTCCTGTAGTTCAGGGAAGCTGTTTTCCAGAGGTATGGAAAATTAACTTGCTAAAAATAGGGATATTGGGCAGAGGAGCACAGCAGCTGGGAAATGGGAATGAAAGAAGCAGCCAGTGTGTGCAGAGGAGGCAGCGATGCCCTGGAGCACGGGGGCTGCTCAGGAGCAGCTCTCGTAGAAGGCGACTTTCCTCTTGATGTTGTCCCGGATCCTTCCCACCTTCTCCTCCAGCCCCGACAGCCGTGACATCCTGGACACCAGAGCCTCGTTGCCTTCCCGAATTTCCGACTCTAAAGCTGAGGAGAGAGGCCAGGGAAGGGAAGGGTTAACGTGCTGGGGTCGGGCTGAGCCTCCACCTCACTCCTGCACAGCTCTGATGGGGCAAGAAAAGCAACATCCTGCACTCCCTCTGCTCCTCGAAACAACCTCCAAAACACCACTCCCATTAGTTTTGAATGCCAAATAATGGAAGTGAGTGTGTGGAGGAAAAGGGGAGCACAGTGGCACTGCAGGCAGGGCTTCCCTCCATGGTGGCACCCTTGAAAACTCCATTTCCTGGCACAGCACCAGCAGCTACAGCCCAAATCCCACCCCCTCACTGTCCCCTCATCACTCCTTCCCCTCACACCACAGCAGCCCAAGCTCTTCCCCAGGGCACGATGAGCTTGGGAGAGCCTTACTTTGCATCCTGAGCATGATGCCCATGGTCTCCTGGAAGAGAGCCTGTGCCTCCCGGCCGATGCTCTGCACCCTGCTGCCCTGCTCCCCCAGCGCCAGGCCCTGCTCCATCCTGCCCTGCAGCTCCGAGTACAGCTCCTTCACCTGCGCAAAAGCCTGGCCAAAAACAAACACTGCAGGTGAGATCCAGCAGGCTGGAGAGGACGGGGACTTGCAGTGCTGAATCCTGTTTAGGTATGAAATGGATACTGCACCAGAGCTTTGTCCCCGTTACCAAACACATGACAGTTTGTGGTGCTCTCCAAGACAGACAGCTCCACGAGCTGCTCTGCCTCAGGCACAGGGAGCAGAAATGGGAATTGGGAATAGGACTGGGAATTGCTCTGGAGCAGTTCAGCAGAGGCCTGATGCTGTGACCTGACAGCCCAGCAGCCGTGACCCGCACAGGAGATCTCCTGTGGGGTCTGGCAGCGGGCACAGCCCGGGCCGGTACCTGCTGGACGCTGCCGGCCTGCCGTGCCGCCGCGGCCGCGGTGTCGCGCGTGTCCCCGGCCCGCAGGCGGTTCTGGGCCGTGCTGTGCTGCAGCTGGGCCAGCCGTCCTGCCAGCCCCGCCAGCCCCAGCCCCACGGCCCCCAGGTGCTTCTCAGCCGGCCCCAGGACAGCCTCGATCTGCGGGCAGAGGGAGCCCGGTCAGGGGGATCACATCCGAACCCCTCCCCGTGCAGGCCCAGCTCTGCTGGCTGAGGGACACGCACGGGGGCTCGGGGCGGTTTCTGGGAAGGCATCACTCGCCTCCTCCACGCGCTCCTGGATGAAGCGCAGCGAGGAGCCCGAGCCCCTGAGGGCCCCCTGGGCCTCCAGCAGCACGGTGTTGGCTCGCTGCAGGTTGCCCAGCACCTCCTCCACGCTGCCCTCCACGGCGTTTGCCCGGTTCCTGGAAAGGGGGAAGCAGGCAGCAGTGAGTGTGGATAAGGGCACAGACTGGAACTCGAGGCCACAGGGGTAAGATTGGGGAGCTTGGGAAGCAAGAGAGGATTGCTGCTGGCTGGGAAAGTTGCAATCTGCCACCCCCAAACCCAAAAACCCCACACATCTGGACTCCAGCAGGTTTCCTTGTGAGAGAAACATCCGTTCCATTTCACAGCCCCAAGCAGAGGAGACTAACTCAGAAGGGGAGAGCAACACCTTCCTTCAAACTAGTTAGAAACGTTTATTTCACGGTGCACAAAAGGTATCAAAGGGAAAGCAAAGAGCAGGGAAGCAGTTCCAATAAAGAGTTTTCTGCTCCCAGTGGCACCGCTCAGGCCAGGTGACCGAGCTCTGGAGAAAGCCAGGCTCTCCTGTCTCATCACTTGCAGCAGGTTAAGCAGGTGTCAGACACTGCCAAGGAGTTTACAGATTTATCCTGCTGACCTTCTCGCTGGGGTATTGCTGCAAGTCAACTTGTGACAAAGCAGATGCTCCAAATTGGCAAGGACACCCTGTAATTACTTTTCAAGGGAGCATGGAATAATCCTCCCAACTTTCACCCAGAAAGCAAATAGCCCCTTGACTCTCCCCGTGCTCTCTTGTGCAATTAGGATGTAGGTCACCAATATCAACTAATAATACCAAGGCAACGCTGTCATCTCCCAGCACAGCACTTGAGATAAGAGAAAAGCCTCCACCGCTTTCGATAAAGCCCTTCTTGTCCTGGTATCTATAACAGGAACTATTCTTGGGAGATTTATTTGCACCAGGGCCCCAGGGAGGTGTCTGGAGATTGCAGACTCATTCTTTTAGGCACTGGATGGACACAGAAGATCCTGGCCTAAAACTTCAGCTTGTGCAAGTCTGCTCGGGCAGAGCAAGATTTGAAGCCAGCTGAGAACCAGCAGTTCCACCCCAGCCAAGGGACCCTCAGCTGCCAACAGCCCTGACCCCGCACCGACCTGGCCTGTTCTGCCTCCTGCTGCAGCCTCTTGGCCCTGGCGATGTCCTCGGCTGTCTGGGCAAGGATGTCCTCCGGGCACTGCAGCTCCGCCGCCAGCTTTTGGATCTCGGTCATTCTCCTCCGGACTGCAGCAGCGTCCATGGGGAGCCGCAGGGAGAGAACTGACTCACTGATTTCCTGGATAGCGGCAGGATCCGTGTCCTTGTCTGCAGAGCCAGCGGACAGAGCTTCAGGGAAGGTGGGAGTGCAAGGCAGGAGGAGGGCAGGCACCCATGCACGTCTCGCATCTCGTTCCACACAGCTGCCAGGATCCCTTCTGAATTAATCTCCCTGAGTTCCATGCACTTCTCATTCACACCAGCAA